TATGCGGGCCGAAAGAAAATATGACAAGGGGGAAGGCTATTTAGAAAATTATAATAATAAAGAATATTTCGTTACTTTGTGGGCCGCAAAGTGGGTTTCTGGCGGGCCGCATACTGTACAGAAATGCTTTATAAAGCATAGACATGTCTATAGACAATTAGCCTGTAACAAAAAAAAAAAAAACAACAAACAAACAGACACGGACACACACACACAACTGGTTACTTGAAATATTAAACACTCCATCCAATATATGAAATAAATTTGAACTAAACTCACATTGACATTATACGTTACTTTTGTATCACTAAGAGAAAAAAATCACAAAGTCACGACTGAATCCCGTACTGCTGTCGACTATCCATCCTTCCACGCCAATTATTGGAAAAATTAAATCTATTTTAAATCAACAATCCCATCGGACAGCTCATCCAACAAGGAGCCATCAAGGGCTAATCCGGAATTAATCACTTTCTCTCTCGAGTACAGACCAACTGTGTGTGTGTGTCGTTACGTCTTTACCTTGAGTGTCATTATCCTTCACGCTGTGTGTCAAAGTTGTTAAAAGCAAAAACAAAACAAAAAAAAGCACTTGAGCAATCAGTTGTCGATTTTGCGGCCAACGCATCCGTTTGTCGATGTCAGATGGGTTCGGTTCCGTGACGACGGACGATTTTGTTCAGCTGTCGTAATTGTGATTAGTTGATAGACAGTGAACACTTCACTTGATAGACAGTGAACACTTCACTTGATAGACAGTGAACACTTCACATTTCGAAAGTTAAGTGGCGCTGTATTAAGATTGTTCTTTTTTTTTTTTTTTTTTTCCGCACGGCGCGTTGATGGCATGCAAGGGAAACTTCCCGATAAACTCGTTTATTTCCTATAACACAGCGGTTTTCAACCCGTGGGTCGCGACCCCTNCGCAGTGCGACGCACTACGTCAAAAATGCGCGGTTTATATTTGTGAAAAACAGAAATTGAAAGGATAAAATCAAAACAAACTACAAACAAGGGTTTGCTTGATACAGATGTTGGACTGACAAATGAAGATATTTTTAAATTCCCGGACATATTTTTTTTTTTTTTTTTTTTTTAAATAATTACTATTTCTTTGTTTCAATTGCATGCTTAGACGCGGGAGGTTGAGCTCCGCGACATGTCGTCTGGCTCAAGGAACTAGGAACAGTTTAAATCTCTCTATGTGCTCCAGCAATGACGTAGAATGAGGGGGTGGGTGGAGTTGATCCGCATCTGACGGTACTTTTTAGGTGCGGCATATTCGGTCCCCTGCATGTAGGACCTTAGGGTTGCCAGAAACGTGGACACCAAAAGGAGGACATAATAAAACAAAAAAGAGGACAAAGGAGGACATTTTGAATGTTTCATTTGAGTCGTCCCGGATTAAACTCACAGTCAGCACAATTTTATTGCAATAGCTGCCACTGCCAATGAAGTGTATCTTACTCTTTGTGAATCGACAAGGAAACAGTCACTTTAAAAAAACAAAAAAAAAAACAAATTCAATGGCCGCCTTTGTCAACATGTCCAAAAACATCATTTAAATACAAGAGCCAACTTTACAGTCATTACCGTATAATCTTTACTAATTACATGACATATTTCTCGGAGGTGTCAACTTTTCACAGAAAATTCTCGTTAGCAATCCCATATGCATAAAACTGTTCACAGGTAAGATTCTTCAAATTGTACTTTGTAAGAATGATGCACTTTACAGAGTCGAGTAAGAGTCTATTCCTTTCCCCTGTCCATTGAGCATTCATCAAGGAGAACACTCTTTCCACATTGCCATCGTGTCCAGGGATACAGAAGAAAAATTCACACATTTTAAGTAACTCTGAAAAACAACATGCATTTGGGCAACTTTGGAAAAATAAACTCTTCTGCTCATGCTACAGTCTTTCAAAAAACGGTTAATTTTTGTCTTGTACAAATGATTTAAGATTGCAGTATTGGTCAAACAATTGTACATCATCTACAATAATACCCATCTCTTTCAGATATTATAATTACATAAAAATTATAATATAAAATGTAAGAAAAGCCGGACATTTTACAAGATTTTAGCTTTGCCTGCCGGATGGAGAATATTGAGCTAAAAAGGAGGCCATGTCCTCCTTTTGCCGGACGTCTGGCAACCCTCCCTGCATGAGGCTTTTGTTTAATGTTTTTCATTTGCCCGGGGTTTTTGGCTTATCTCGGGAAAACGGGACAAATGTCGGGGGAAAATTAATTAAATTAAAACATATTATAAGATTGCTTAATTTATTTTAATGGGGGGGGGAAATAATGCCCCCTCCCCCCTAATACGCAGGTTTTATTTAAATTGCTCTGTACTTTTGTGCCTCCAGTAATAAACAACTTAACAAGCCGACCAAGTTTTAGTTGTGGCCCCCCCCCTGAAAAAAAGCCTGAAATGACGCCCCTGCATATAGCGACAATTTGTGACGGTCGGTGACTTGATGAAACTTGAAGAAAAAAAAAACAACAACAAACAGAAAAGAAAATTGTGTTCTAACATTTTGTACTTGGGTTTTCCCGGGATTTGGGGGGGGGGGGATTTTACAGGGGAAAGCCATTTGTTAACTAAAAATCGACCTGGACCCCGCTGTCCAAACTCTACTTTTGTTTGATGAGAATTTAACAGGGGAAAGTCATTTGTTAACTAAAAATTGACCTGGATCCCGCTGTCCAAACTCTACTTTTGTTTGATGAGAATTTAACAGGGGAAAGTCATTTGTTAACTAAAAATCGACCTGGATCCCGCTGTCCAAACTCTACTTTTGTTTGATGAGAATTTAACAGGGGAAAGTCATTTGTTAACTAAAAATCGACCTGGATCCCGCTGTCCAAACTCTACTTTTGTTTGATGAGAATTTAACAGGGGAAAGTCATTTGTTAACTAAAAATTGACCTGGATCCCGCTGTCCAAACTCTACTTTTGTTTGATGAGAATTTAACAGGGGAAAGTCATTTGTTAACTAAAAATCGACCTGGATCCCTTTGTCCAAACTCTACTTTTGTTTGATGAGAATTTAACAGGGGAAAGTCATTTGTTAACTAAAAATCGACCTGGATCCCGCTGTCCAAACTCTACTTTTGTTTGATGGGAATTTTATGTGACTGTATTTTTTTTTGCGGTTCTCGTGACTGAGGGGCGGCAAAGTCGAGGTTTGCTCCTGGCGTCACAAACTCTAGCTACATCCCTGTATCCGGTACACGTTTTGAGAATCCTTGATTTCAAATAATTAAGCTTAATTAAGAAGATACCAGTCTACGAATATCCCACGAGTCTGCTTTTGGTAGATTTGGTTGAATATTTACATACGCCTATTAGTTATATCAGTCTCTAAAGTTTTAGAATGGTAAAATGCCTTGTATAACATAGCTGTGATAACATAAATCTGAACGGTTCTCAACTAATCGAAACAGTGGCGCTCTTGGGATTTGTCACTGTGTCATTTAAGTCGAGGACTCTCCAAACTGTTTTTAAATTTTATTTTGAGATGCCCCCCCCCACACACACATACACTTTTTTAAATGAGGCAATGCGTTATCAAGCGAAGAAATTAATTAATTAATGCACGATTTTGAAACATTAATTTTTGAGATGGTCAAAAACCATTGTGGCACCAAGACTTGTTTTCCCTTGTCTGTGTATTACTGGGGTCATTGCGGCACCAAGACTTGTTTTCCCTTGTCTGTGTATTACTTGGGTCATTGCGGCACCAAGACTTGTTTTCCCTTGTCTGTGTATTACTGGGGTCATTGTGGCACCAATACTTCTTTTCCCTTGTCTGTGTATTACTGGGGTCATTGACCAGCCACTTAACCAAAAGCCAGGCCCACAACCTACTAATATGTTTATGTTGATTAAAATTGTTCTTCGTTTTAAATATTGCATTGTTTCAAATGTTACCAATAAGAAATGTGCAGTGTTCATTTGGGATTCATTCATGTTTTGTTCACACTTTAGTGCGGCACACGACAGTGTCTGATGCACAGTGAACCGTCCCTAGGATTGAAATGCTTGTGGAACTCTGTCCTATTTTTTTTTCCTCCATTGTAACGGTTTATCACAAAGTATTTAGACACCATGGTCTAAAAATTTACCCCCCCCCCCATTTTTTTGGGTTTAAACTGTGACTGCATATGAGGTGGATGCACGACTTAACTATCATGAAGACAACATATCTACATTCTGCATAAGTTGTAGGCATACGTAATGTAAGAATGTAAGTGCTCAAGGGCCCAACTTGACAATTCCCAATGTCTCTGAATGTCATCAATAGAAGCAACTATTCGTGCAGGCCAAGCCACTGTGTTAAATCGAACACAATGCAACAGCCACACCACTGTGTTAAATCGACCACAATGCAACAGCCACGCCGATAAATGTACAAACAAACAATGATCATTTTTTTTTTAAAATCTGGAAGGTGTTTAAAAAAAAAAATAATTAGCGTGCTAGGACCTTGATTTAAAGTAAGCACACTTGATGTGTTGACGTGTGCTTAGGGGGCCGTCACTCTGTCTGTATCGCTTCTGTCCAATTACCCCCCTTGTCTACAGCAGCAGACAAGCCATTAAAAGCCCAGTTGACGTTTTCATTTCTGTCAACTTGCACGGCTATCAAATTCAAATGTCTGAATTTTCAACGTCTCAAGTATAACATGCTTGGGTCAGGTCAAGGACACCCCCCACCTCATAACCCCGTACCTTCATAATACAGAGCTGATTAAAATATAAGATGAGTAGACAAAATTTAAAAAAAAAATAATTAAAAAAAAATTGGTTAAAGAAACTCCAAAGTTAAAATCATAACTTTATTGATGTAAGCTTAAAATAGTTAATATTGTGTTAGATCTTGGAAAAGATCTATTTAAAAAAAAACAATAAAATATATAAATCACAAGAGGATTTAGTCTATTATAAAAAATAGAATAATAATAATAAAAGAAAGTAATATGAAAAAAAACCCCAAAACAACAAAGAAACAACATAGCTTAACTTGGTTTGGAATAACTTGCATGAAAAATAATACAAATAGAAAATGTCCCATTATACAATTTTGTCGTTCAACCTTCTCATCATTCATACAACTATTATACTTTAATTATATATATAAAAAATGAAATTCAATATAAATGTCCTTTCTTATTTATTTTATCCCTAAAGAAAACAGGTAAAATGTAAATAAATAGTGGAACAAGATATGTTTAGGCTTGAAAATAAAGGCAGTACCGGTACAAAGAAGTCAATCTTTCAGCTAGATGCCTTCTTCAGCAGACAATATAATACAATAAACAACAGAAATTAAAAAAATTAAAACTTATTTTTCTGAAGAACTGAAAGAAATCAATGTGGCTCAATGTTCAGAACAGGATGATGCTCTATGTTATTGTTAGAAAGTTGAGTTGTTCAAAACTGAAATGTGCGCCATTCATTACTCTGTGGTGTGTACTATCATGGTAAAAGATTTAGTTATTATTGATGTAAAGCTTTTAACCGCAAAAAACTGAGGATTGAAATGGAGGGAAATAAAGGATTACTAGTGGGAAAGTAATTCCACAATAATTAATTCCATATGGCATGGCGGGGCATGGAGTTATAGCATCCAAAATCTAAATTAATTTGTTTTACATTCTTCACTCTCGCTGGTGTAAGAAATTAGAGCCGTGATGGATCCATCTGATAGGGCCTTGAAATGAGATGGTTGATGTCTTCTTGTTATAGAGAATCAAAAAATGATATATAAATAGTTTATCTTGGAATGATTAGGGCTGGGCTGGTGGTTGGAATAACCTAGTAGAATGTAGTCCCTAATTGTGATCCTTGACTGCTAAAAAAAGGTAACAAAAATGAAGACCACTGATAATTATTTAGTATAGATCTGTACCAAGAAGCAGAATGTTATGTTTTATTTTTTCCTTTTAAATAGTTCTTTGAAATTACAGTGGTGCCATCAATACATGAAGCAATTTACATTATTTAAAACATTATTAAAACATTTCCAAGTTGCCTTCATTCAATAAAGTTTAAAGTATACAATATAAAAATACATTCAGTAATAATAACACTACTAGTGTTTTTTAAAGCAAAATCAGCCATGATTCCTCAAATTAAGCCCTAGTAAAATTAATGTTCAAAAACATGGAATCAACATTTAAAAACAACAAAAGAAATTTTCTGTTAAAAAACTGTTAAAATCCAATTTGAAAATTTATTTTGAGTTTTTTAGTTCAAAGAAATTATTCCAGCTTAAATAAGCGGGTAAGGAAAAAAAAATTTATAAGGAAGTGGTTCTAAAATGTTGTTTTCAAGAACATCCATCACTAGCTCATGAAACACTAGTGTCTGTATCGGGTGCAGTTTGGGAAAGACTTCAAAGCATAAATAAAACATAATTATTTCTTCCGCCTGAACAATACAACAATTACAATTTATCTGAATTAACATTTCATTCATAAATACATTTGTAAGAAACTCAATCACATGATCAGCAAGAAAAGAAATTCTGGCAGTGAAGGTTCTGATTAATAAATATATCAACAAAGATCTCACATTTTAACATGGTGGTCATCAAACTTCAATTTATGGCAACTGGCATAGTGTCTATGTGACCTGGCATTGTGTCTATGTGGCGACAAGGCAAGGGTTACAGAGTTGGAATCATTCAGAAATGTCCAGTTCGGCAAGGGCTGGGGTAAAAATGGTGATTCTGACCCTTGTGGTAATGTGAGTTAAAAGAAAAACAACACAACCACTTGAACAAAAAAACAACAACAATGAAACTTAGGTATAATCTACCAAAAATCTATAACATAAAGTGCTTGAAGTCATGAGTCCTAAATCACAAAACCCATAAGCAAAAGGCCCACTTATTCCTTTCACCTAGATTAACAGAACTAGCTTCATAATCAAAGATCACATTAATTCCCTAGATCAGCGTTTACCGAACGTTTTTTTTCCATGGCCTGGTTATTTGTATACTTTTCCTTTCTGACTACTAAATTTGTATCACTTATTCAGAGATACAAGTTACGTTAAAAAAGACTTGACTGTCGGTAATGTTATTATTTAATTTAATAAAATATTCCACTTGCTGTTACGAAAATGAACAGAAATAAATAAAAGAAACCTGATAAATAATTTATTGATAACAATAGTGATGCTTTTTTTTTTTTTTTGCGTTAACTACAGACTTCAGTTTTGGAGAAAAATGTTAAAAAAGTTTTTTTCTCAGAACCAAGTTTTTATTAACCTTTAACCTAATGGCAGGAGCACAGTGACCTAGATTAATAATCTAAACTAAAAAACCAGACCGTAAGTCAAATAATTTATTCATACTCTGCAGACGTAAAAAGGAAAACAAAACATTGTTTAACAAAATTGTTTCCTTCCATTGAATTCTTTTTTTTAGTTCTTAGTAAAAAAATCCATACAAGAAAACTGCAGCAGATACCAGGAGCACGCTCATGGCCGCTGTCATGCGCTGTAATTGTTTGGATTCTGAAATGGATAACATATCCGTGATGTCCATCTGTCTGTTGGCCAACAGGTTCTTGCTAGCTGCATCAATGCCGCATATCCAGTTGAAGATGCGGTGAGGGAAGCCCATTTTTGCTGTTGTGTTGGTGAATAAACAAAAATTGATATAACATACATTGATTTTTAGAAGACTGTTCTTAAATAATGTAGAAGTATTTTAGCATAAAATTGATTTATTGTTGGAATTTCATCGACCTTGTGCAATTCTTGAGATCAGCCAGTCATCTAGAACTAACCTTTACCATTAAAATTCGAGAGCAAAACTTACATTCTACAAATACGTCTTTGTGTAAATCTTCCATCTCTAATTCTTCTTTTACAGCTCCATTTTCTGGTACAACGTTGGTCAAATCTTAAGAAAAAGGACAGTCAGTTTACAATGATTCAATATCATGGTGTACCATAATTTAAAAAATTTTAAAAAATAAATTATTAACTCATAATATTTAAGATTTTATCTATTAATTTGTTACTAATACTGTTACTATTAGTTACAATGTTTCTCATTGATTGTTAAAATAAACAAACACTTTTTGTATTATTGACTTTGAAACATTTGCAAATAATATTTGTAATTGGTTCAAATCACTTAAAAGTTTTGAATGAGTCAAAATTAATTTGTTGTAACTCTATACAATACTATGAAAAAAAAAAATTATCCGCCCATTCCTATAGTGATAGTTTTTGTTGTTGATAGAGTGTCTGTCTATTATAGATGGTTTTGTTGAAATTTTTTTTGTTCATTATTTAATATTTTTGAGTGCTATTATTGATTTATCAATTTTTACGACACCATTGATTTTGCTATTCTTAGTATTAAAAGTATTTTTATTGTAGTTACCATTGCAGTTGTTATTACTTATTGATCTAAACCAGGCCTGCACAACTAATAATTTAAGTTGGGCCGTAAAACTATGAAAAACTTGTGCGGGCCGAAACAAAATAGGATTTGGGGGGTGGGGGAGGCGGGAGAGCTATTAAGAAAATAATAATGAAAAATAATATTTCGTTACTTCGTTGGCCGCAAAGTGGGTTCTGGCGGGCCACATGTGGCATGCTGAACATAAGTTGTGTAGGCCTGATCCTCAAATACAGTGCCTGGCACATCAGCAAGTATCTAATAAACGTGAAATCATCCTGCGTATTGTCGCTTACCAAACCTACCATAGTTTGATTCTTGTTGCATAGCACCTTCCAAAGTCTCCTGCAGACTTTCTGTCCGGCCCGCGTGCCAGTCATCAATATTCAGCCTTGGCTTGGTGCTTTTTCTTGTTCTCCAGGTCAGTCGCTGAATCTGTACGTAAAAAAAGTTAACATAGAATATTACAAGTCTAGTGTGGCTTTTTTGAAAAACTTTAGAAATTAAATAACTAACTAACTAAATATACAACCTCTAAAGCAGGAATATAACCAACTAAATATTTGAATTCTAGAACATAAATATAACCAACTAAATATTTAACCCTTAGAGCAGGAATATAACCGACTAAATATTTAACCCCTAGAGCAGAAATATAACTAAATAATATCCTAGAGCAGGAATATAACTAAATAAACATTTAACCTCTATAGCAGGAGTTGTTTAAATTAGTTTTTCAAAACATGTGATTTAGTTACTTTTGGTCTATGACTGTAGTGAAGGTGTGGTATGTAGTGGAGGGGGGTTCATACGACATGACATCCAGTTAAAAGTAAAAGGTGCCAGTTCATACATTTTAAGAACATAATTTTATTTTCTAATTTAAGGGCTTCGGAACCGCTACAATATAATATCCTTCCTGAATACACCAACTTGCATATAAGACACTTAAAAAGTTAAGATTTTAGTAAATTACATTACTAGAGCGTTACACATTTACTTACACACTGAGAGTCTATCGGTTTCGTAAGCAAACTGATCACCACGGCCGACAGAGCCGTCAGGAAACAAAGAAAGATAGAGAAATACAGGTAGTGGAAGTTCTTGACCAGATCGGGTGTCGGGTCAGGGTCAAGGCTACCACATCGTGGTGTGGTGTAAGAATACTGAATAGCAAAGCGAATGATTCCGGCAACAAAGCCAATAACCAGGCCGAAAAAGGCACCCTGAAATATAATGGAAAGCGGTCATGATATTCCAAGAAATATAATTGTAAGTAGGTGAGATATTCCAAGAAATATAATGGTAAGTGGGTGTGATATTCCAAGAAATATAATGGTAAGTGGGTGTGATATTCCAAGAAATATAATGGTAAGTGGGTGAGATATTCCAAGAAATAAAATGGTAAGTGGGTGTGATATTCCAAGAAATAAAATGGTAAGTGGGTGAGATATTCCAAGAAATATAATGGTAAGTGGGTGTGATATTCCAAGAAATATAATGGTAAGTGGGTGAGATATTCCAAGAAATAAAATGGTAAGAGGGTGTGATATTCCAAGAAATATAATTGTAAGTGGGTGAGATATTCCAAGAAATATAATGGTAAGTGGGTGTGATATTCCAAGAAATATAATTGTAAGTGGGTGAGATATTCCAAGAAATATAATGGTAAGTGGGTGTGATATTCCAAGAAATATAATGGTAAGTGGGTGAGATATTCCAAGAAATATAATGGTAAGAGGGTGAGATATTCCAAGAAATATAATGGTAAGTGGGTGTGATATTCCAAGAAATATAATGGTAAGTGGGTGTGATATTCCAAGAAATATAATGGTAAGTGGGTGTGATATTCCAAGAAATATAATGTTAAGTGGGTGAGATATTCCAAGAAATATAATGGTAAGTGGGTGAGATATTCCAAGAAATATAATGGCAAGTGGGTGAGATATTCCAAGAAATATAATGGTAAGTGGGTGAGATATTCCAAGAAATATAATGGTAAGTGGGTGAGATATTCCAAGAAATATAATGGTAAGTGGGTGTGATATTCCAAGAAATATAATGGTAAGTGGGTGAGATATTCCAAGAAATATAATGGTAAGTGGGTGAGATATTCCAAGAAATATAATGGTAAGTGGGTGAGATATTCCAAGAAATATAATGGTAAGTGGGTGTGATATTCCAAGAAAGAACTTAAGTTGATACAGCTATGGGCTTCAAGATTGCTAAATGGGTGTGATACTCCCCGCGCAAAAAAAATTAAGCCACAAGATTGCATGGGATGATTTAGAAAAAAAAAAACAGGAGAGTTCATGGCAATATACATTTAATTAGTCAGAAATGCCCCCCAAAATTAACAATTAAAAAAAAATTATTTCAGCATTTTTGGTTGTGGGACTTAAGCTCACCAAAGTTACCTTTTCATTGAGACGTTCCCAGAACAAACCGAGTAAGAAGATGGCACAGATGGGGGGCTGGAGAAAACTGGCCACCTCCTGCACATATACATAGAGTTGTGTCCCTTGGCTTGCTTTGATGACTGGGATCCAGATGATACTTGCCAAGACAAGGACTATCACAAACACCCTGTGGGCGGGTCAAGAGGTCAGTGGTGACATGGGATCAAATAAGCATTTAACAACAAGACCCACCCCCCCAAAAAAAAAAACACAAGTCAATAAGGTATTTAAAGTACCTAATTAAATGCACTAAAAACTATACATTAATTTTAAATTGTGTAACTTGTGAATGACTGACATTAAAAAACAGAAGTTCCTCTATTATCATCTACAAAAGTGCATTAAGAATTCAATATTAATTGCATTAAAAGTAGTTAAAGCTTGTCACATTTTCTGCAGGGGCACAAAAATTGTTTATTTAATTTTTGATCACATTTTTAGTTTGAACAACAAGCTATCTCATGGATTACTCAATATTCAGATTCATTTATGTAAAATCTATAAATATTTTATCATTTTTACTGAATGAGAATAAAAAAGTTAATAAAATCTTTTCTTTTTTAATTCATTTTTTTAAATCAATTGTGTTATTGACAGGAAATTCAAGTTAAATATTTTTATTGATAGATACCCATCGAGTCTACAGCTGGTGTGTACCAGTAAATTAAGCCAACGCTCACCTGCCAACAATCATTATCTCCAACTCAGAAGCCTTTTTCCTTATGTGTATCCAGACGTCCATGGCGAAGATGGTGCTGCTGCTGTTGAAGATTGAGGTGAGCGATGACATCAAGGCGGCCAGCATGACGGCCAGCATCATTCCCCTGGCCCCGGCGGGCAGCAGGTTGATCACAAGTGTCGGGTAGGCGATATTGGTACATCCGCTTGGGCTGCCACAGACTTTGGTGCATATGTCTGGGTCTGCACAGCCAACGGTGTCTGATAACATTGATAGGATATTAAACATCAACAATGGACACAGAGAATAAAGTAGAGAACAGTCATAGACTGCATCAGTGGTCTCACTAGAACTGTTCTATCCCATCATGGACATTCCCCTTTACAAAACTGACAAAACTGATTATTTTTGTGTAAAACTCCATCAAGCAAAGTCATCTACTTCCCTAAAGCCGCAGGTTAACAATACATAACCATGACAGATTACTATAAATAGTTTTAACAATGTACCAACACCAAACACCCATAATTTAATTTGCATCTAGAAGCATAAAAATCCCTTGCAGGATATTTTTTGTGTCACTTTGTTTTGCTAACGTTATGAAGAATAAAAATAATCCAACATGCAATTAGGTATTTATACCTAATTTCTTATTTATATATGGATCATTAAGTTTGCATTAAATTAAGAGGTATCAATAGATTTGAATACTTTCATGACAAATAACTATTGATGCTCACTGAGTTTTACTCTTAAAAATTGAGTCAAAGAAATGGAAACACACTAGTTTTAGAACCATTAAGTTAAAGGCAGCCAATTTAGGTGTCCTACTTGTTGAATATAAATCTGTACAGCATTTCACAAAAATGGTTTAAAACTGGTTACCAGGAAAAAGAATCCTTGATATCATTCCAGGAAATACCAGCATGAAGAGGGGAAGAATCTTTAGAAAACCACACATCAGGGTCCCAGCCTTGGCGTGTGTGAAATTTTTGGCAGCAAGTGCTCGCTGGACAATGACCTGGAAGAAAATATATAGATGACAGGTAAGCCACTGAGTGTATTCTTATATATAACACTAGTGGTGGGATTGCTTCTGTTTCTGAATAGCGTGAAAAATATAATTCCTGATAACTACGCTAATTGATTTTTTAAAAAATAACTTAATTTAAATATTGTATGATAAATATTCAGTGTAAAAGTGGTTGGGACATCAGAATATTTAATATAGTTCATGCGCATGAAATAAAAAGTGTGCTGTGATGTACCATGGGGGAAGGGTTGTAGCAAATTGGGATTATAAAATGTGCGTTACTTGAGTTCATGTTTTGTCAAGTAACTTTAATAGATGGGAAGTTCACGCATTGCTGTTGCCAATGTTTGGCCAGCTATATCTAGTTTATAATATTCAATTAAAATAAATGTTGTATCATTATTATATGTGGAAGGATATCTTAGATGTTGTATCATTATTATATGTGGAAGGATATCTTAGACGTTGTATCATTATTATATGTGGAAGGATATCTTTGAAGTGGATGGACAGAAAAAAAACAAGACTTGCATGACTTCAAATTTCCCATACCTGGTCCGAGCACCAGTACCAGATGGAGTTAATTGTCAGTCCTAGAATGCCTGGCCAGGGAAGGTCACTGGAGACGGGGTCACGAAACAAGTGCATGTAATCCTCACGCGGGTAACCACACGTGCTGTTGCTCCTCAGCGTACTCTCTGGTATGGCTTTTGGATATTTCTCCACCATGGCATCAAAACCTCCAACCTCAATGAAAGCTGAAAAATTATGGTTACCAGGTATTTATCATATGGTCAAGGGGTCACCAAAGCATAATCAGGCATCAATAATATTTGTTACTACAGCACTGCAGTTGGCTTCACAGTCTTCTGAGACATGAATAAAGGATAATTTTGTTGTTGAAAATTTTTAATTCCAGAAAAACATTTGTACTTTTCTTAAGCAGTGCTGGATGAACTGCTCTGGAAAATAAAATTTAAGAGATGAGCTCAGCATTCAAATGTCAGTCCAATATTACGGGGACCCTCCAATGTTTGGGGCTCGTATACTGATGCATATTTTTCCTATAGATTATTCGGCACTGATTTATTGTTTTTTTTTTTTTAATAGTGTTTTTGTTTTTTAAAATATTAATAGAAAAAAGACTGATATATTTCCAGACACTAATTGATTATTTTTTGTTTAAGAATTTTAGAGTTTATACTTTTGCTTTCATGATAATTGTAATTTTTTATTATTAAGTACACTACCCTAACCATTAGAACACACCCCTAATCATTAGTACACTGGCTCCAATCAGCATGATTATAGTCTGAATGAAGTCTGTCCATATGACAGCAGTCAGGCCTCCTGTGGAGAAATGTGTTAGAAAACCTCAGCTCAAATTGTATGAACAAGTCAAATCAGATTTCAAACAATGTTATGTCTTTTTTTAAAATAACATTAATTAATATCATTTTGTAAAAGATTGTGAAGAGTGTCCGTCAGTGGCGCACCTTGTCTAAACACCTGAAATGCCAAAAGTCTTCCCCACTCACACACACACACATTTTATGTAATGCATATACATACACTCCAAAAGTGCCATTTGAGGAAACTTGCCTCAGGGTGACTTGCCCCCTTTGCACACCCCACCCCTCCCAAGGTACGCCATTAGTGACCATAGTAAACGTACACTACAATACCACAAAACTTAATAATGATGTAGTGTTGCAGATCCAACAGATCCTTGGCCTGGTTTGAGCACCTGTACTCAGTTCAAGTTGTGGAATGTTAAAAAAAAAGGCATGACGACAGAGTACCTGTGATGGTGAAAATGGCGGCTATTCCCAGAAGCAACGATACAGCGCCGTACATGTCCCAGTTCAGTGACTGCTCTATGAATATAGAGCCAGAATACAGATCTGCCTGGGGGATATCAGGGATTGGGTGAGTTCATTAGATGATTGGGTGAGTTCATTAGATGATTGGGTGAGTTCATTAAATGATTGGGTGAGTTCATTAGATGAGTGAGTCAGTTTATAAGATGATCAAGTGAGTTCATTAGATGATTGGGTCAGTTCATTAGATGATTGGGTCAGTTCATTAGATGATTGGGTGAATGGGTCAGATCATTAGATATTTGGGTAAATACGCTAGTTCATTAGATGATTGCGTAAATGTGTCAGTTAATGAAATGATGTGGTGCAAGTTTTAATTTTAAAATTTGTATTTCTAAAATTTGTATTGGTATTAGTTTAAGCTGATGAAACATTTAAATTTTACTAAAATTGTTGAAAGTGGAAAAAAAAAAAATACTTAGTAAATGTTTGTAAGTTGAGACATATTTCCTAGAAACTTTTTCTATGTGTTTAACTCTTAAACAGCACACTTAGATTTAGGCATGACAAATAGATACAAACATGATAATCTGGTATAACCATGACAAAGTGGTACAAACATCACACATGTGACAATCTGGTGTAAACATGACAAAGTGGTACAAATATTGCACATGTGACAATCTGGTATAAACATGACCAAATGGTACAAATATCACACATGACACACTGATACAAACATGACAAGAACACACGCCAACCTTCTCACCGATATCTTAGTGAAGATGTACATGATCAGTGTGAGGCCAGACAGGAAAATGTGGATCCTCTTGCCGCCAAATCTACGTTGTAAGTACTGAGGCATGGTGTAAATCTAGACATGACGTCCAGGAGGGGGGGGGGTGTTTGAGAATTAAACAAGAGGTTAGACTTAGTCATGTTATGGATGTGATTTTAGTAGTGAATTTAGAGTGAATAGCCTCGATAGGCCTTAACATATCCGCACACATACATTAGAAATGAACGATTAAAATGACGGCAAAACAATAACAAATTATAGAAGGTTTTAATCTCTTAAAATGACATTTACTATAGTGTCGGTAAATGGTCCTTATATAAAAGTATAAATAATGGGAGACAAACACTAAATACACAATACCAACAGTGAACATGATTATTTCCCTTGTGTACAAAAGTTTTAAGCAATAATTTGAGATCTAAATATACGAAAATAATTTTCTTTTTGGAGATTAGATACGATCTTGCGATGACGTCATATTGACTTTCTCTTGAAGAGTTGGCTCTCAATTTAAGGAGTACTCCTGAGTTTTTTTTTAAACTAGGGGGGGGGGGAGGGGGGCTAATTCAAGTCATTAGTATAATGTCAGTTACTTACCCCTGAGGCAATGTAAACTGGAAGGAAGACGTAGGCCAACAAGACCAAAACAAGCATCGCCTGCAGATAAAAGTGATCCAGATTTACTTGAGTAGTTCAGTGTATTGCTTCAGTTTAGCATCATTCTGTTTACAAAGCTCACCAAAAATGAATTTGGAAACACAAAGTGGCCAAGAAAAAATGTAAGAATGCTGTTGTGTGTGTGTGTATGTATGTATGTGTGGTTTGGAAGGGGGGTGGGGGCTAAGTCCATGTTATAAATGCTATGTTCCATCGTCTGGTATGGACATGAAAAGACGATTCTTCACAATTGTAAATGTTTCTACAAGAACACCATAATTTGTCACATTCTACATTGTGAAGTAACTGAATCGGGCCAGATTTTCATGACATTTTAATATAATATCATGGTGTAGTAGTATAGAAATGGACAGGTGCATCATTAACACAAGTCATTTAATCAGACTGGCTGCCCGGACTATGATTATATTCTGGACCATGTCACAGTCATATTATCTGTCACAGTTATATTATTTGTCACAGTCATATGATCGTCAGTCATATAATCTGTCACAGTCATATTATCTGTCACAGTCATATTATCTGTCACAGTCATATTATCTGTCACAGTCATATTATCTGTCACAGTCATATGATCATCGCAGTCATATTATCTGTCACAGTCATATTATCTGTCACAGTCATATGATCGTCACAGTCATATTATCTGTCACAGTCATATTATCTGTCACAGTCATATTATCTGTCACAGTCATATGATCTGTCACAGTCATATGATCTGTCACAGTCATATGATCGTCATATCTGTCACAGTCATATGATCGTCACAGTCATATTATCTGTCACAGTCATATGATCGTGACAGTCATATTATCTGTCACAGTCATATGATCGTCACAGTCATATGATCGTCACAGTCATATTATCTGTCACAGTCATATTATCTGTCACAGTCATATTATCTGTCACAGTCATATTATCTGTCACAGTCATGTTATCTGTCACAGTCATATGATCGTCACAGTCATATTATACTATTTTTGAATGTTCATTAAGTCTAGCCGCCCTCACATTAAGTTCATAATTGGCGATCGAGATTCCTGCCGCCGCCCCTGACCCTGCCAGACCCACAAAATGGAGGCTCCCGATGTTGCTGGCGAAGAGAGACGCACCCACCTGTAGAGACAAATGAAATAAAAAAAGTCGTTAATTTGATTGGCCTAATTAATGACATGCTCAGTCCCATTCCCATGACTTGCATCTGAGCTCTAACCAAACACATTCAGCTCTTTGTTAATTGTCATGTTCCGACTGTTGCATATAGCTCAATTGCAATAGCGTGCCTATTGCTAGGCCCCAATCCATGGGTCACTGTGCCTATTGGCAGGCCTCACCACGTGGGTCACTGAGTCTATTGGTAGGCCCCACCACATGGGTCGGTGTGCCCATTGGTAGGCTCCACCAGGTGGGTCGCTGTGCCTATTGGTAGGCCTCACCACGTGGGTCACTGAGTCTATTGGTAGGCCCCACCACATGGGTCGGTGTGCCCATTGGTAGGCTCCACCAGGTGGGTCGCTGTGCCTATTGGTAGGCCCCACTCGGTGGGTCACAGTGAGCCTAAGGAGGGCCGATCAAAAAAAAAACAACCATTGAAACATCTTTGAAGATAAAACCACACACTTTGGGGGAAACGGAAGAAGTCGGATGTACATTGTACCCAGATAGTGGTTACCGTCCCTTGTCACCTCTAGCATGAGTGCTGAAACGTCATATCATATACAAGCCACAAATTGAATGCGCCAGATCATCCAAGGTAATCTAACGTCTTCTGCTAAAATGGGAGCTAAACGTTTTCGCTTGTCTTCATTTACCCCTCATCTTTTGATCAATAGCGTGTAAGTGTAAGCACACAATGACCACGTGTAAGCACACAATCACACAACGTGTGAGCACACAATGTCACAACGTGTAAGCACTCAATCATGCAACGTGTAAGCACACAATCACACAACGTGTGAGCACACAATGGCACAACGTGTGAGCACACAATGGCACAACGTGTGAGCACACAATGGCACAACGCGTGAGCACACAATGGCACAACGTGTGAGCACACAATGGCACAACGTGTGAGCACACAATGGCACAACGTGTGAGCACACAATGGCACAACGTGTGAGCACACAATGGCACAACGTGTGAGCACACAATGGCACAACGTGTGAGCACACAATGGCACAACGCGTGAGCACACAATAGTACAACGTGTGAGCACACAATGGCACAACGTGTGAGCACACAATGGCACAACGTGTGAGCACACAATGGCACAACGTGTGAGCACACAATGGCACAACGTGTAAGCACACAATCACACAACGTGTGAGCACACAATCACACAACGTGTAAGCACACAATGGCACAACGTGTAAGCACACAATGACAAAGGTGTAAGCACACGATGACACAACGGGTAAGCACACAATAACACAGCGGGTAAGCACACAATCCCACAACGGGTAAGCACACAATCACACATCGTGTAAGCACACAATTACACAACGTGTATGTAAGCACACAATCACACAACGTGTAAGCACACAATTACACAACGTGTAAGAACGCAGCGACCGTAGTTGTGAATCCACTGCTGACTTACCACTTAACTGCGCTGCTCCCAAATCAAAAGGGCACACATCATTTCTAATATTACAGCGAAGTACTTATTGAAACGTTTGAGTGTTTCAAGGAGGCGTGAATTGGTGACCCTAGAGTTCACAATCCATTTTACTCAAATGTCCCTAAATGTTCGAGGTCAAGGTCATTCTACCAAACTGAAGGGACAGGCCACAAAGTACATCATGCGTCGAAAAGGGGGTGGGGGGTCTAAGAAAGTGTGACATTTTGTGACACTGGAGGGGGGCAGGGTGGTAAAAAGATCTTGTGTGATGTCAAACATTTTAAAAATATAAACATTTTTTTTTTTAGTTCGGAAAATGTGACGTAGGTTGTTTTGTTAAAGATTGTGACAGGAGGGAGGGACGTCGAATGACGTATTTTATGGACGGCCCCAAAGGGTGTGACTTGTCAAATCTTCAAATACATTTCTACCAATGGGGTTCAAGACTTCAATTTCGTCAGCACAAAATAAAACTAGTAGTTTTACAGTAAAGCAGTGTGCGTCATCATCTTTATCCGTGCATTCTTATGTTTCCTCCAGAGAATCACGGACGACGTCAAAGGAAACTATACCATCAAAGATTGAACTATACAGTGGATCATCTACAACAATGACATTACCAACGTATTGTTGAAGCCCCAAGCTTGAGTGGAACAAGGAGACTTGAAAGGAAAGAAGGAAACATTCCATACTGCCAACAGACGCATAGCTCAAACCACAATACACTGAACTTATGAACTCACTGCCACCAAATGGGTTAGGAAAATGCACGAGAAGATTTGGAGAGAGACAATTTTAAATGGACCTTGAACTAGTGTTTGAATATCGACGTTAAAAGCTTCAGCAAACGTATAGACACCAGTGGTTGCTGTATAGACACCAGTGGTTGCCATATGGACACCAGTGGTTGCTGTATAGACACCAGTGGTTGCCATATGGACACCAGTGGTTGCTGTATAGACACCAGTAGTTGCCATATGGACACCAGTGGTTGCTGTATAGACACCAGTGGTTGCCATATGGACACCAGTGGTTGCTGTATAGACACCAGTGGTTGCCATATAGACACCAATGGTTGCTGTATAGACACCAGTGGTTGCCATATGGACACCAGTGGTTGCTGTATAGACACCAGTGGTTGCCATATGGACACCAGTGGTGGCTGTATAGACACCAGTGGTTGCCATATGGACACCAGTGGTTGCTGTATAGACACCAGTGGTTGCCATATGGACACCAGTGGTTGTCTTTATGGACACCAGTGGTCTCCGTATAGACACCATTGGGTACCATATAAACACCATTGGTTGCCATATTGACACCAGGGGTCTCCGTAAAGACACCAGTGGTTGCCATATAGACACCAGTGGTCTCCGAATAGACACCAATGGTTGCCATATAGACACCAGTGGTCTCCATATAGACACCAGTGGTCTCCGTATAGACACCATTGGTTGCCATAAAGACATCATTGGTTGCCGTATAGACACCATTGGTTGCCGTATGGACGTCAGTGGTTTCCGAAAGGACCAACTCAGTACGGGAGATTTTAACAAACAAAAAACCCCTCTAACCGGAATCCAATGCATGTTCCTTCCAGCCAGGAAGTATCCCCCAGCGCTGCCTCTGTTCTGTCTGGAACTCTGAAACAGCGAAGTGGACACAAATACAGTTCAGATTCCCACATTGAGACTCTAAAGTTTGTGCAATCGCACTGTCTAGGTCATTTTAACTCCGTATTTCAACCCCCAAGATCATACCCTATACAATCATGTTTGTTTTTTGTTAAAACGAAGGCACAATCCTGTCTTTAACATTGTGTGTAGTCTTGCTTATGCTGCATGTTGAAATGTGTGGAGGAGACAGTTTGTGGGGGTGTGTGTGTCAAATAAATAATACGCGTTTCAGAAATTGTAACAAAAACGACATTACGATATTAAATAAATTATTGAGGCTTCTAAGTTTAGTGTTCTTTAAAGATCAAACCACTAAGAATGCATCTACCGTTCTCTGACTTACCCATAATCCGACAAAGAGGACAAACGCGAAATACCCCACGAGGACCAGAATGTCCCCAAGATGCAAGTTGGTCCCGCCAAAGGACTCCACCATTCTTGTCACCTCATAGAGGTCAGGTTATATCTGAAAGAAGGCAGTGCTATTCAACTCAAACTCATTAAAAAAAAATTCGACCTAATTAATCACAGCCACATCAACAATTTGGCCTAATTAACTAAAGTCACATTAACATTTGAACTATTTAATACCGGCTACATTTACAATTTGACCTGATTAATCCCAGTTGAGCTATGCTGTCTTAGTCGTAGGTTTTGCTATGTTGTCATAGACATGTGTTTGCTACGTTATTACAGGTAGTCGTAGGTCTGGTTATGTTGTTGTCGCAGTTCCAGCTATGTTGTCATAGTCGTAGGTTTCGGATCTGTTACCCCTACTTTTTGTTTATTGATCTTTGTAGTATAATTGGTATAATATCTTGGTAGTATAATTGTTATAATATTTTGTTTGTATAATTGTTCTAACATTTGTTAGTATAATTGGTATACTATCTTGGTAGTGCGATTGGTATAATATCTTGGTAGTATAATTGATCTACTATCTTGATAGCATAGTTGATATAATACCTTGGTAGCCCGCTACAATAGCACGGACAAAAGCACTATATAAGCAATCAATCATCATCACCATCACAATCGATTTAAACTTTAGTGCCATTACATATCCATTGTACCAAGAAGGAAACATCCATCTTTTGAATTCCGCGGTCAATGTCTACTGCAGTGACGTAATCAATACCATCAGCTTACACCAATGAATAGCTTATCGTGTCTCTGGGAGACGCAATGGTTTCCTTGCTGCATATTAATTCAAGAGTTGGGAGGGGGGGGGAGGTACCTCGAGGTAGGATCGGTCTCAACAATATGGGCGCCCAAGGCAGCTCTTATTTTTGGCGCCCAAGACGGTTCTTATTTTTGGCGCCACGTCCTCTTGCACATTTTTATTTTGAAATTATTTGCTGGTAACAAGAAAAGGCGCTTCTGGAGGGCACCGAAGACAAAATTCCTAAAATTTCAGGTGATGCTGGAGGGCACCGAAGACAAAATTCCTAACATTTCAGGTGATGCTGGGGGGCACTGAAGATAAAATTCCTAACATTTCAGGTGATGCTGGAGGGCACTGAAGACAAAATTCCTAACATTTCAGGTGCTGCTGGAGGGCACTGAAGACAAAATTCCTAATATTTCAGGTGCTGCTGGAGGGCACCGAAAACAAAATTCCTAACATTTCAGGTGATGCTAAAGGGCACTGAAGACAAGGCTCCTAACATTTCAGGTGCTGCTGGAGGGCACTGAAGACAAAATTCCTAATATTTCAGGTGCTGCTGGAGGGCACCGAAAACAAAATTCCGAACATTTCAGATGATGCTGGAGAGCACTGAAGACAAGGCTCCTAACATTTCAGGTGATGCTGGAGGGCACTGAAGACAAGGCTCCTAACATTTCAGGTGATGCTGGAGGGCACTGAAGACAAGGCTCCTAACATTTGTGGTGCTGCTGAAGGGCACCAAAGACAAGGCTCCTAACGTTTCAGGTGCTGCTGGAGGGCACCGAAGACAAAATTCCTAACATTTCAGGTGATGCTGGAGGGCACCGAAGACAAGATAATTTTTTTTTATTGCTTTCAGCATACAGTTAGTAAGAAATATTTTAATTAAAAAAATAAATTGGAATTGTAACTAGTATCGGTAAACAATTCTAAATTTTATGGCTTTTGGGGTAGCCACTTAGGTTGTAAAATGGGATATCACACGAAGAAAGTATTTTCCGTGAAATTATTTAAAATTATGTTTTGTTCTGGATCAAAGTGACGCCCCTAGTGTTTGTACATAAATTTAAGGCTAGCATGCCTCTAGCAAAGGAGTCTTTATCCTAGGCTCATGAATATATATTTTATCCCTTGGCCATGGGGTAAGGGTAAACGTAAAACATCCATGATTAGGGCTTCAGGGGCCCCGGGATGTAACTACTGTCATGAGCCGTCGATACATTTTGACAATCTATTATTCATGGACCCTATGATGAACCCCGTTTTGACTCTGCACCGCCCTTCCCCCTAAAAAACCCCCACAACTCAAAACACACCCCTTCGCTTAATTTTCCACGCCCATTTTTTTTGGTTTGGTCATGTCGCTGTGCATTTGGGTTAAAATTGTGTGGATCGGGCGCTGTATCTTGATCTAAACATAACTCAATTTGAGATATTCCCTATACATCATTTATTGATTGAACATAATGTTAAGAATAGCAATGGTAGGAATTATAAACCTATAGTTTAACCTTTCATCTATTTCAAACTTTAAAAAAAAAAAAAAATCATTATTCATGTCTAAATACTTTCAAATTAAAGTAAATGGCGAATTTTGTTTTGAACTAAACACTGAAACATAGACATAATTGCTTCGAATTGGGTCACGCCAGGCTTTACAATATTCTAGATCTGTGCAGATATTTTGACCTTGTACGTTATTAAAATCGATATCGCGAACATCTAAGCACTACATGAGGTGGGTGTGCCACACGTGGGCTTGCCTAAACTAAGCACTCTTTGTATTACTGCGCCTGTGGCCTCGAGAACATATTGATGTGAATGAAGCGTGTGTCTACGAACGAGTAGGACTAGGTTTAAAAACAAACGTGTTATACTTACGTATCCTCCGGGAGACCCGGTGTCAACTTGATTTTAATCCACAGCACACGGTGTAGGAATAAATCTTATCAGAAAGAAATGGCCCCATTTAAAAACAAAGTAAATATGTGTTAGAATCGCGGAGGGGGGACACGTGTGTGTGTTTGTATGTGTATCACGAAAACGCGAGAAGAGCTGAGCGTGTAGTGTGAGAGAGAGAGAGAGAGAGAGAGAGGGGGCGTGCTTACGTTATCGTAACCAGATTAAACACGTCACAGTTTCGTGGGCGGATCCTGTTAGCGGCAAGCGCGGTTCTTGGCCTACTTACTAAAATTTAACGGTCAACACTGGGAAAGGCAGACGGATTTTAGTATTACAATTTTGTAATTCAATAAAAAACAAAATATGGCTTTGAAAATTATTTGAATAAAATTTTGAAGAGAGCTGGACAGCTGGACATGATAAAGGCTCGCCCTAGTGGGCTATTCATTTGAAATGAGCTGATCTTTTAATCAAAAATAATAATAGCGCTTAAATTCCAAGACCTAAATTTAGCTTTAAATAGTAAGTGAGATAATATGTGGCTACATGATAATCTTATATCATAATCTAATTTCATACCACGCGTGGGTTTCCATTAAAAAAAATAAATAAATAAGAAATCGAGTTAGAGAAAGAAAGAGAGTGAGAATTAGAAGGAGATAGAGATGCCTTTTGAATAAGGTCGCAAACACAAAGGGTGCCGTCCATAAAGTACGTCACGCTACTTTTGACCATTTTTACCCCCCTCCCCCCTGTCACAAACTGTCACAAATCTCGGACCCTCCCCCCCCCCTTAGTACATCACACTTTCGAACAAAATTGTTTAACATTAACACCTAATTATAATTTAATCTGAAACACACTTCACTTTTAAACTGTATTAAAATATAAAAATTCCATAACCATAACATTATTAAAATGACTTTAATAGTACAATAGTTACTAGCGCACCTAGCGAGAGGAATCGTGAACAACACATTCAGGAGATACGCATTTGATGCTAGAAATGACATAAAACTAATTCAAATGTTTCACAAAATTTTAGAACATTATTTTTAAAGCTATCAAATTCTACTAAAAAATAAATTAGAAATAAAATTTAAAAAAAATAAATGTGTGAGGTCACACATGGCGTGACCCCTCCCCCTGTCACAAACTGTCACACTTTCTTACACCCCTCCCCCCACCTGTCACAAACTGTCACACTTTCTTACACCCAGTCCCCCCATCTGGAGCGTGACATACTTTGTGGACGGCCCCTAGAGAGCTGAAATTAGTTTGATACATTTTTTTTATTTAATTGCGCCGGACATTCTCATAGGACTTTACCCACCCCCCCCCCCCGCACCCCCAAGAAAGAAAAAAGACCCCCCCCCCTCAACCCGGTTTCCCAATCGTTTGAACCTAGGATTAGTCTATAAGCTAAAGATGTCCGTCATAGGTAGCGACATGGAAGGAGCCTTCAAAGCCCTTTATTTTCCTTCTTTTAAATGCTAACATTATTTTTTGACAAATACGATTGGCTGATTCTGCCAACAATTTAATACATTTTTAATTTCTTTTCAATTATATCTGACAGGGCGAGATTTTTCCTTTTTTTTTTTTGGTGCTTTTCTTGATAAACAAAGTAAAACTTTAATAAATGATAAATATTTATATGTGTGAATACCAGACAATAATATAAATATATAATAAATTAACAACCAAGGAAAATAATTTGGGGGAAATTTTTTAAATATTTGGAACATATTATTTTTTTGCTTCTGCCATGTACATTTGAAACACATAGACTAAGCGTACGTTTGACTGTTGACTTTTGTAAAGTCTCAAATCTCTTCGACAGACATGGTCCAAAATTTTAATCTGAAATGTATCAAGCCCTCGACTGAAATGATATCTTTGCTGTCTGGGGCGTTTCCTTCGTTGTTGGTGCCGTAAGCGTAAAGCTGATCGCGTTTGATATCACTTGGTATCGCGTAGTTCGCCACGCGGGCAACATCTAAATGAAACAACTACCGGGAGTAGCGTTTGGCGTAATTCTGTATCGGTCCATCGGGTCATTCGACACAAGCTGACGCCATTCCATATCAGCGTATCAGAGGGTCATGCACCGGAGAGGTCAACGGCCCCGCGTCACTTTTCAGTGCCACTTCGAGCAGGGGCGTAGCGAGACATTGTGCTCCCCTGGGTGGACTTTGGAAATGCCCCCCCCCCCCCACTCCCGAAAACGCTACGCAAAAATATACCTAGTGCTTTTGGGCCCATGAAACCTGGAAATAAGGCGCCTTCAATAACCGATGTCTCTGTCATATGCACAAAATCACCCCAGATGACCCCGGGGTGGACTTTGAAAAAACCCCCCCCCCCCCACTCCCGAAAACGCTACGCAAAAATATACCTAGTGCTTTTGGGACCATGAAACCTGGAAATAAGGAGCCTTGAATTAGCGATGTCTCTGTCATATGCACTAAATCACCTCGGATGGAAACGCTTGGGGGGGGGGGTGGCTGAGGAGATGGAAATAAAGAACTTTGAAGGCTCCCAAGCCAAAGGGAGGGCAGGGTGCTGGTGTGGGTGGGCTCATTGAGCCCTTCCCCGAGAAAAAAATAAATAAATTCAAAATACATGGAGTCATTTTTGCGTAGTTTTCAAATATTTTTAATTGTTACTAAATAGTCTTTTTTTGTTGTTGTTGCAGCCATTATAAAATTAATTGATTTGTTAAAACTCTTCATCCCATCCATTCATCCATCCATCCACCCACCCATCCGTCCATCCACACACACATCCATCCATCCATCCATATAGGTTTCAAGAGCATGAGCATCGCTTGCATTTGTTGACTACATATGATGGTTTTCTCAAACAGGCGATTAGGATGTCAAGACATGTTTAGGATAAAGCCATTCTGCAGAATAAACTAGTAAGTTCCCTCTTTATAAAATTATTATTTTTTTTTTTTTAAAGGAGAAATTCATAAGGGACTGGGCTGAAGCCGTGTGAGATATATAAATATTGGAGAAAGATATGTTTGGAATTGAAAAAAAAAAAAGAAAAGCCAATTAAATGGACGTTTCGGCCAAACGCCTTCTTCGGCAGACAAGAAAAAACACGAAACAAAAGATAATTATTAATTAACCATTAAAACTTGGTCAAGCACTTCCGGCTCTAAACATTGAGCTACATTGGCTTTACGGAGAATCTTGAACACGTGAGATTTTGATTTTTAAATATCATTTGTACCTTTAGCCTTTAACCTTGAGCCTTAGAGTCTAATGATTGTGTACCTTAAACCTAAGCTATGACAATCTAAAGATTGTGCACCTTAAACCCAAGCTCTTATAATCTAATGACTGTGTACCTTTAACGTAAATGTTGTCTTGTGGACGCCCATGTCAAGAGATCGCCAATGCTGATCCCCATGTCAAGAGATCGCCAATGCTGACACCCATGTAAAGAGATTGCCAATGCTGACACCCATGTCAAGAGATCGCCAATGCTGACACCCATGTCAAGAGATTGCCAATGCTGACACCCATGTCAAGAGATTGCCAATGCTGACACCCATGTCAAGAGATCGCCAATGCTGACACCCATGTCAAGAGATTGCCAATGCTGACACCCATGTCAAGAGATTGCCAATGCTGACACCCATGTCAAGAGATTGCCAATGCTGACACCCATGTCAAGAGATCGCCAATGCTGACCCCCATGTCAAGAGATCGCCAATGCTGACACCCATGTAAAGAGATTGCCAATGCTGACACCCATGTCAAGAGATCGCCAATGCTGACACCCATGTCAAGAGATTGCCAATGTTGACACCCATGTCAAGAGATTGCCAATGCTGACACCCATGTCAAGAGATCGCCAATGCTGACACCCATGTCAAGAGATTGCCAATGCTGACACCCATGTCAAGAGATTGCCAATGCTGACACCCATGTCAAGAGATTGCCAATGCTGACACCCATGTCAAGAGATCGCCATTGCTGACACCCATGTCAAGAGATTGCCAATGTTGACACCCATGTCAAGAGATTGCCAATGCTGACACCCATGTCAAGAGATCGCCAATGCTGACACCCATGTCAAGAGATTGCCAATGTTGACACCCATGTCAAGAGATCACCAATGCTGACACCCTTTTAAAGAGATCACCAATACTGACGCCCTTTTCAAGAGATCGCCAATGCTGACACCCTTGTCAAGAGATCAACAATGCTGACACCCTTTTCAAGAGATCAACAATGCTGACACCCTTTTCAAGAGAACGCCAATGCTGACACCCTTTTCAAGAGATCGCCAATGCTGACATCCATGTCAAGAGATTGCCAATGCTGACACCCATGTCAAGAGATCACCAATGCTGACACCCTTTTCAAGAGATCGCCTATGCTGACACCCTTGTCAAGAGATCACCAATGCTGACACCATTTTCAAGAGATCACCAATGCTGAACCCTTTTCAAGAGATCACCAATGCTGACACCCTTTTCAAGAGATCAACAATGCTGACACCCTTGTCAAGAGATCACCAATGCTGACACCCTTTTCAAGAGATCACCAATGCTGACACCCTTTTCAAGAGATCGCCAATGCTGACACCAATGTCAAGAGATCACCAATGCTGACACCCTTTTCAAGAGATCGCCAATGCTGACACCCTTGTCAAGAGATCACCAATGCTGATACCCTTTTCAAGAGATCACCAATGCTGACACCCTTTTCAAGAGATCGCCAATGCTGACACCAATGTCAAGAGATCACCAATGCTGACACCCTTTACAAGAGATCGACAATGCTGACACCCTTTTCAAGGGAAGCCAATGCTGACACCCATGTCAAGAAATCACCATTGCTGACACCCTTTTCAAGAGATCACCAATGCTGACACCCTTTTCAAGAGATCGCCAATGCTGACACCAATGTCAAGAGATCACCAATGCTGACACCCATGTCAAGAGATCACCAATGCTGACACCCTTTTCAAGAGATTGCCAATGTTGACACCCATGTCAAGAGATCGCCAATGTTGACACCCATGTCAAGAGATCACCAATGCTAACACCCTTTTCAAGAGTTCACCAATGCTGACACCCTTTTCAAGAGATCGCCAATGCTGACACCAAT